CCGTAATGCAGCAATTACCGGGCGAGAAACTAAAACAGTCTTTATATTTTCAAATGCCTTTGTTTTTTCATTTGTCCACTTAAATATTTAATTTTTCCGCAACAATTGATTCAACGGAGCAGCGATGACGGCATANAAAACAGTCTTTATATTTTCAAATGCCTTTGTTTTTTCATTTGTCCACTTAAATATTTAATTTTTCCGCAACAATTGATTCAACGGAGCAGCGATGACGGCATACCCCGGTACAAATTTGCGAAAATAACCGCCCAAGCCGAGGAACTGTCTAACTTCGGTAACGCTCTCTGGCGTTTTAAATTCGCGTATTGCTTTTGTTTTAGCTAACCCAGGAGAAATACCATTGGGTGTTAGCTCGTGACCCAGAAACTGTATCGTTGTTTTCAAAAACTCACACTTTTGTAAATTGAGAGTAACGTTAGCATTTTGTAATGCGTTAAAAACACGTTCTAAATTTTCGTACATTTCGCTTATAGTCAAACTGCCGATTAATATATCGTCCATATAATTAATCATGTCATTAGGTCTCACATTGTCTTTAATTTTAGCGATCAGACGTTGAAAAACGGCCGGGGCGTTTTTAAGCCCGAACGGCATGCGTTTAAATTCGTACAGACCTTCTGTCGTAATGAAGGCTGTAAATTTTCGGCTACCTTCCTCAATAGGAACTTGATAGTAGCCGCTGTTAAGATCTAACGCTGAGAAATACTTAAAACTTTTTGCCCGTTGTAGTTCTTCTTCAATGTTTGGCGTCGGAAATATTTCTTTCCGCATATGTTGATTTAACCGCCGGAAATCTACACACAATCTTTCGCTACCATTTTTCTTTTTTACCAACAGCATAAGGCTAGCGTATTCGGAATCGGATTTACAAATAATGTCGTTATCGAGTAGTTCTTTTAGCATATTCGCGATTAATTCCTTTTTAGGTTCAGGAACACGAAACGGGTTTTGAGCGATAGGAATATTAGTATCCAGATCGATTTTCATATTTACGAGTTCGGTTTGTCCAAGTTCACTTATATTTGTTGCAAACACATGCGATATTTATTCATCAACTCGAACAATTTCTTTTTATTTTCAGTTTCTTCAATACCGCACTTTTTTTCATCAATATGCAATGATTTTTTATTATTTTCGCTAACAATTTTATTGCACGCACTAGCAATAGTAATTTTACCATTTAAAATTGTCATTTTCATGTCTGTGAACACCTCTTGCCCCAACAGCAAGCCTACCGTCAAAAGTTTATCATCAACTACGTATAGATACACATCTCGCTCACAACTGTCAACTTTCAAGTTAACACGCATTTTGGAGTAGGCATAGATCACACCTCCGCAAAACCCACTTATTTTTAGAGCACACTTTTCTTCAACGCTTTTGATTTTACCTGCCGCAGTTTGGCTGATCATACTACATTCGCTACCCGTATCTATTAGGGCTGTAAACATTTTACCGTCTATTGTGACCACTTTCTCATAGTTATTTTCAGGAACTACCGCTTTAGTCGTACGAGTTGTCACAGTTTTCAGCTTCGCCCTTAGGATGCACTTTTTGACAGTCAACACATCTACGCCTGCGCTGTGGTTGCGGACACTTTGAAGAAATGTGCCCCTTTTGTTGACAATTATAACAAATAATTTGCTTATCACTGTCACGTCTTTCACTAGAGTTTCCCTCAACATTCGCGATTGATTTTTCTGGTTTAAACGTGCGCACTGGTAAATTCTTAGTATAGTCAATTATTGTTTGTCGGAACTCACGCATCGAACTATAGCGATTTGCTGCTATAGCTTTTTGTAATTCCCGATGCCTAAGACCATCTATTGCGTATTTCACTATGGTGGGTTCACTTAAACCAAATCTTTTACCTAAAGCCCCTATACGAAAGCAATAGTCAAGAAGACTTTCGTTTGTTTTACGCGCCGCTTGGGACATTTTGAAATGTGTATCCGCTTCATCGGGCACACAACTGAACTCTTCACACAAACATTTTGATAATTCACTCCAACTTGAATACAATTTCTCAGTAGAATTCAACCAAAGTTTTGCTGCACCTTTGAGTCGACTATACACCGCCAATAAAAGACATTTCTCTTCCCATTGTTACCCTGCAAAAATCGTTGGACCATGTAGTCTATTTGTGGTAAATTGGAGTACTTACAAAAGTGTTCCTCTGTCATGCTGTAGCGGACCAACTCGTGTCTCTGCGCCAGCTTATTGTTTGTTATCCGATCACTGCTCGTGTTTTAACGAAACGTGATTGAAGTTGAGCATTTGAAAGCACATTTGCATGTCTGGCTGTAGCTGAACGTGTAGAGATGCTCGCTGTTAGTTCTTAGCTCCCAGCATGTTCGGGTTCGAATACCGTCAGAGGCAACATGTAATTTTTAATTTTTCTCTTGGTTTTTATTAATATCGAAAAAGCATTTGAGAAGTGAAGAACAAAAGCGTGTACAAACGAAAAAATATAACAATGCCATTGTTAATATGTTGGAGTAGTTTTGTGCTACTCTGATGTAATGCAGGGATGGAGTATATGGTCCTGCCCTAGGACATCGCAATGCTAATTGGACCATATTTTTTATATAAATTGTGGTTAATTTTGGAGTACTCTTTGGTCCTTAGGGAGTACTCTTTACACGCATGCATGGAGTAGGCGCGATTTTTTGCAGGGTATGCTTGAATTGCACTATTCACGCGTTCTACGAACTGTTCAACTGATATTGAAGATTCGTTTGTTGGATCAAATTCCGGAATAGTTTCCGCAATTTCTTTCACTGAGTAGCTACTACGGCCAGAAATTGTGGTCGCACTAGTAGCTGGAGAACTTAACCGCTCTCGCTCCCCGCGCGTATTCGTATCACCTACGTTATTATTCGCTTGCAACATTTGTAAAACGGAACTAAACATGTCGCGCAGTTCAGTAATCTGCTCTTGCACATTTACGTTGGCTATTTCGATACTGTCCGAACCAACAGCTTCGCTTAATCGCAAAACCAATTCATTTTTTAAACCTTCCGTAGAAAACACTTTATCGCTTAAAATTTCTTTTAAATCAGGTAACTTCAATGTATTTATTTTCACCACCGGCATTTTGATAGTTTTTTTTCTTTTTTAATTTCACAACAATGCGGTCTAATAAGAATTCAACCTGTCGCTTTTTTCTTTGTTTTGTTTTGCTTTTCAGCTGCCCTTCGTTTGCGTTTGCACTCATTACACGCTCAGTGTCGTTATTGCTTTACTACTCGTCGTTCACGCATATCGTTATACACACACACACTCGTTTAGGGATATTATACGTTCATCCCTTTCGTGCTTATATGTATGTATATAAGTGAAGAAAATTTGCGAAATTTCTAGAACGAAAGCGGAGCACCCAATTTTTGCCAGCGGAGTCTCATTTGCGTCTGCGTGAATTTATCTACTTCTGAGTTTTGCTAGGATAGCCGTAAATAAATAAAAACACTCTTCCGCTTGTGTTAACAAGAAGCACACAAAGATATGATTTTATTCGGAATTTAATGTCACAAAGTTTAATTGTAAAAACGATTTTAATATAACTTGACTCGTTGGCGTCTGTTCGCGTGTCGGATAAAAGACTAAGACTACTCGCGTTCTATGCCAGAGTTGCCATGACCTTACACAAGTTAGAAAAATTGACAA